TCGCCCCGCGCCGCCCGTCAGCCGGTAGCGTCGCCCACATCCGCGCTCGCTAACCTGCCGTGGCCACAAAAGCCGTTTCCAACTCCTCTTCCACTTCCGCCTCCTGCCGCCTGCAGTCGGGCCGGGTCACGTGAGAGCGCGCGGTCACCTGACTCGGAAGAGGCTGGCCGGGCCCGCAGGTGTGAGCAGCCAAAGCTTGGCCGCGGAGCCTTTCGTCTGGGGAAGTGTTTCTTACTGTTTGTGTTTTTTAAGGTGGGAGGGTTTTCCACTGGCAGGCTGGTCCCCAAGCAATCATATGAATTGAGGGCTCACTGCGTGCCGGGTGCTTCTTTACTGCTCCCATCAATCCTTTTGAGGCGGGTGCTATCATTAGCCCCATTGCACAGGTGGGAGGAAACAATTCTGTCAACGAAGTCGACAGATAGTGACCTCCTAAGTAAGGTTGCCGAATAAAATACAGGATACCCAGTTAAACTTTAATTTCAGATAATCACCTAGGGCAGATAATCAAATAGGCAAGGTAAGCACGATGGTTACCTTGCTTGCCAGATCGTCTATAGTGAACAATTTCACATTTTTTCACCACATCGAAGATTCTTACTCTAGGTATGGCTAGCATGTGTCTGTCTCCCAACACCATACCTTCCTGCAGAATCAAAGTCTCTTTTCAAATTTACAGTCCTTTACAGGGGAAGATGACCCAGTAAGCAAAGTAAGCACAGATTTACTTGTGCGTACTTACTAATCTGTACTGAACAGTTTCTTTGATGTGGTAAAACCCATGAGAAATCCTTCGCTACAGATAATCTCGTAAGCAAGGTAAGCACTATGCTTACCTTGCCCGTTGGATAATCCACCCCTATAAACACCAAATACTTTTTTAGTATTTGTCTCATGTAAGATTTAAAGTATGTCCCAAATATTGCATGGGACATATTTATACTAAGGAGCCCTGGTGGCGCAATAATTAAGTGCTGGGCCGGTAACTGAAAGGTTGGTGGTTATAACCCACTTAGGGGCTCTGCAGGAGAAAAGACCTGGTGATCTGCTCCTGTAAAGATTACAGCCTAGGAAACCCTATGAGGCAGTTCTACTCTGTCCTGTAGGGTTGATTTGGACTCTTAGGCACACAACAACAACATATTTATTTATACTGAAAAAGTATTCATTGTTTATCTGAAATTCAAATTTAGTTGGGCATCCCATATTTTTATTTGCTAAATCTGAAACTTCTATGTGCCAGATTCTGTTCTAGGCTCTCTTGTTAGGTGCTGTCGGGTCAGTTTCCGACTCATTGCGACCCCATGAACAACAGAACGAAACGTTGCCCAGTCCTGTGCCATCCTCACAATCGTTATTATGCTTGAACCCGTTGTTGCAGCCACTGTGTCAATCCATTTTGTTGAGGGTCTTCCTCTTTATCGCTGACCTTCTACTTCATCAGACATGATGTCCTCCAGGGACTGGTCCCTCCTGATAACATGTCCAAAGTATGTGAGACTAAGTTTCACCATCCTTGCTTCTAAGGAGCATTCTGGCTGTACTTCTTCCAGGATAGATTTGTTTGTTCTTTTGGCAGTCTGTGGTATAGTCAATATTCTTTGCCAGCACCATAATTCAAAGGCATCAGTTCTTCTTTGGTCTTCCTTATTCATTGTCCAGCTTTTGCATGCGTATGAGGCGATTGAAAATACCAGCGCGTGGGTCAGGTCCACTTTAGTCCTCAAAGTAACATCTTTGCTTTTTGTTCTAGGCTCGAGAAACACAAAAATCCTGGCCTTTGTAGAGCATATGTTCTTGTGACATAAAACAAAAGTAGAAAAGCTTCAAAAACTACTGCTTGCATATGGTAAAATGCCTCACCATACCAAACCATCCCCCTTCCCTTAATCTACAGAGTAGATAGAGCCATTTAACATTAGCAAAAACATTTTACATCAACATTCTTTACTGATGGTCTAGGTCCTCAGCTTTGACAAGCTGAATAAAGGCTCAACTTTTCACCTTTAACCACCATTGATTAAAATTAGTACTAATTACCTAATTAGCCTTAAGTACCGTGCACCAATCATTCCATTATTTTGGGGTCTTCAAGTTTGGAGGAATCCTGTTATGCATACTAATTTAAATTGGTTGAGCATTTGGTCTCTCCTTCTCCTATTCTCATTCCAAATCCAGGAGATGGCCTTTTAAGGAGCTACAGCCCTCAACCCCCATCTTAATAAATTAAACCCTACTTTAATCCCATGGAGTCCCTGGGTGGTGTAAAGCATTAATGTGATTGGCTGCTAATCAAAACATTGAAAATTTGAATCTATCTAGAGGCGCCTCAGAAGAAAGGGTTGGTGATCTACTTCCAAAAAACCAGCCGTTGAAACCCCTATGGAGCATAGTTCTACTTTGACACACATGGGGTTGCCATGAGTCAGAATCAAAATCTACAGCAACCAGTATATGTATGTCTATACAGGCATATCTTGGAGATATTGCAGGTTCAGTTCCAGACCACCTTGATAAAGCAAATATTGCAATAAAGTGAGTCACATGAATTTTTTGGTTTTCCAGTGCATATAAAAGTTATGTTTACACTATGCTGTAGTTATTAAGCGTGCAATACCATTATGTCTAAAAAAATGTACATACCTTAATTAAAAAATACTTTATTCTAAAAAAAAATGTTAACCATCATCTGAACCTTTAGTGAGTCGCAGTCTTTTTGCTGGTAGAGTCTTGCCTCAAGTGTTGATGGCTGCTGACTGATCAGGGTGATAGTTGCTGAAGTTTGGGGTGGCTGTGGCAATTTCTTAAAATAAGGCAACAGTGAAGTTTGCTGTATCGATTGACTCTTCCTTTCGTGAAAGATTTCTCTGTAGCATGTGATGCTGTTTGACAGCATTTTACCCATAGTAGAACTTCTTCCAAAATTGGAGTCAGTCCTCTCAAACCCTGCCACTACTTTAGCAACTAAGTTTATGTAATATTCTAAATCCTTTGTTGTCATTTCAACAGTATTCACAGCATCTTCACCAGGAGTAGCTTTCATTTCAAGAAACCACTTTCTTTGCTCATCCATAAGAAGCAACTCCTCATCTGCTTAAGTTTTATCATGAGATTGCAGAAATTCAGTCACATCTTCAAGCTCCACTTTTAATTCTAGTTCCTTGCTATTTCCACCATGTCTGCAGTTACTTCCTCCACTGACATCTTGAACCCCTCAAAGTCATCCATGAGTATTGGAATCAACTACTTCCAAACTTCTGTTAATGTTGATATTTTGACTTCCTCACATGAATCACAAATGTTCTTAGTGGCGTCTAGAATGTTGAATCCTTTCCAGAGCGTTTTCAATTTACTTTGCCCAGATCCATCAGAGGAATCACTATCTATGGCAGCTATAGCCTTACAAAATGTATTTCTTAAATAATAAAACTTGAAAGTAGAAATTACTCTTTGATCCATGGGCTGCAGAATGGATGTTGTGTTAGTGAGTCCAGCTAGGGACAGAAAAGGCTTTAAACAACAAGATATGTCAGTTAAAAATTTTCTACAAGAAGAATAGTGTCAGTGTTGTCTGCTTCCTCCCTCCTAATCTTTCTGCTTTCAGCTGTCTTTCAGAGCAACCAATTATAACTAGAATCCTGGGCATGCGCCATAAGAGACCAAGTTGACAGTCAGATGGCCCCATCCCCTAGTAAGTACTGCCTAGGAACCAAAAGACCCATGCCAAAGAACGAAAATCACCAGACATACGTCATCAAGCGGTGACCAAGCCCATTTCAGAAGCGAGAAGCCCGTCAGCCACTTCCATGCCAAATCCTAGCCTGACCCCTTTTTGAATATGTATGAAATTAATGAATATGTATGACTTCCCCTTTCCCACGTAGTATAAAACTTCCTTCAGCCCTTTGTTCGGCGAGACAGTGCTTTGGGAGTGATCCCCCTATCTCCTTACTTGCTGCGAATAATAAACTATGACTTGCTTTCAATCCACTTGACTCTTAGTTATTCTTAACAAGAGTATAAGTGGCGAACCCACTGTGTTCGCTAACATTAGCAGGCATGAAAACAACATTAATCTCCTTGTTCATCTCCATCAGAGCTCTTGGGTGACCAGGTACATTATCAGTGAGCAGTAATATTTTGAAAGTAACCTTTTTTTCTGAGCAGTAGGTCTTAACAATGGGTTTAAATATTCAGTAAACCATGTTGTAAACAGATATGCTGTCATCCAGACTTTATTGTTCCAGTTGTAGAGCACAAGCAGAGTAGATTTAGCATAATTCTTAAGGGCCCTAAAATTTTTAGAATGGTAAATGACTATTGGCTTCAACTTAAAGTCCCCAGCTGCATTAGTCCCTAGCAAGAGAGTCATCCTGTCCTTTGAAGCTTTGAAGCCAGGCATTGACTTCTCTTCTCTAGCTAGGAAAGTTCTAGATGGCACCTTTTTCCAATATAAGGCTGTTTTATCTACATTGAAAGTCTGTTGTTTAGTGGAGCCACCTTCACCAATTAGCTAGATCTTTGGGATAACCTGCTGCAGCTTCTACATCAGCACTTGCTGCTTCACCTTGCACTTTTATGTTATGGAGATGGCTTCTTTCCTTAAACTTCATAAACCAACCTCTTCTAGCTTCAAACTTTTCTTCTGCAGCTTCCTCACCTCTCTCAGCCTTCATGGAATTGAAGAGAGTTAGGGCCTTACTTTGGATTAGGCTTTGCCTTAAGGGAATGTTGTGGCTGGTTTGATCTATGCAGACCACTAAAACTTTCTCCATATCAGCAATAAGACTATTTTGTTTTCTTATCATTCACATGTTCACTGGAGGAGCACTTTTAATTTCCTTCAGGAACTTTTCCTTTGTATTTACAACTTGGCTGTTTGGTGCAAGAGGCCTAGCTTTCAGCCTGTCTCAGCTTTTGACATGCCTTCCTTACTAAGCTTAATCATTTCTAACTTTAAAGTGAAAGATGTGCGACTCTTCCTTGAACACGTAGAGGCCACTGTAGAGTTATTAATTGGCCTAATTTCGATATTGTCGTGTCTCGGGGAATAGGGAGGACTGAGGAGAGGGACAGAGACGGGAACGGCTTGTCAGTGGAGCAGTCAGAACACACATTGATCGATTTAAGTTCACCGTCTTATATTGGGTGCAGTTTGTGGCGCCCCAAAACAATTACAATAGTAACATCAAAGATCACTTATCACAGATCACCATAACAGACATCATAATAATGAAAAAGTTTGAAATATTGTGAGAATTACCAAAATGTGACACACAGATAGGAAATGAGCACATGCTGTTGGAAAAACAGCGCTGAAAGACTTGCTCCACTCAGGGTTGCCACAAACCTTACATTTGTAAAAAACGCAGTATCTGTGACGCACAATAAAACGAGGTATGCCTGTATTATCTGCCTCCAGCAAGAATGTATGAAGGCAGGAGCTATACCCCAGCCACTGGAAGAGTACCTGGCCCATAGAAGTCCTCTTTAAATGAATTATTGAATGAATAGATTTCACTAACATTTACTGAGCACTGAACTTGTTGCTGTAGGTCTCAGTATAGTTTTAAAAGACACATTAAAAATTCTGAAATATATTATCATAAATTAGGTAACAAGAGGAGGTCCAGAAAGAGGGGATAGTCAGCAAATTGTAATTTAGAAGACAGAAATGAAAACAAAACAAAATGATATCGTAAATTAGAAAATTAGAGCCTCCAACTGCACAATTTCAAGCAGGGATGGTAAGGAAGAAACCATTGGCTCTAAAGGATGAAAAGACTTAGCAGTGAGAAAAATTGAGACAGGGTGTTTGCGGAAGGAAGGAGTTGGGCAATTCCTTCAAGGTTCGACCCCGCCCACATCTCCTTGGCTGGACCTTTGGTGAAGGCGCGCATGCTCGCAGGTATCCCTGAGCCTGAAGATACGGACGGGGCCGCCAAGAGGCGCCACTGAGTCGCGGCTGCTCTTCCGGTTCCCAGAGGCCTGCCTAGGGAAGCAGAGGCTGGTTTAAACTCCGTGCGCACGCGCGCTCTGTGGTTGTTCAGTCAAGATGGCTCCGGTGGAGCACGTTGTGGCGGACGCCGGGGCTTTCCTGCGGGACGCGGCTCTGCAGGTACAGAGATCTCCCGCCGAGAGGAGCAGAGCTTGGGATGGCGGCCGCTGAAGAAGCGTGTAAAGGCAGGCGGGGGGTTGCGTGGTGCGGGTGAGTCTGAGCTGGGTGGATCTCTCCGCAGGACATAGGGAAGAATATCTATACTCTTCGGGAGGTGCTCAGCGAGATTCGGGACAAGGCCACGCGCAGGCGGCTCGCCGTGTTGCCCTACGAGCTGCATTTCAAGGAGCCCTTCCCGGAGTACGTACGGTTAGGTGAGTGTCTCTGCCCCAACGTCGACCGGAAAGCCGGGGCCCAGGGCGCAGACGAGGCGGGACCGGCTCCGCTTCGAGTGGGGGTCTGGCTACTTCATCAGCAGTTGATTGAGAAACAACACGTTCTAGGAGGTCGTGACGGGAGAGGGGTACCCGGCGTCAGCCAGGCCTGAGCTCAAGCTCAGGCCTTGCCAGCTACTAGCAGTTTATCCTCGGCATATCACTCAGACTCTCTAGGCCTCGGTTTCCTCATTTGTTAAGTGGAAATAATAGTGCCTACCTCAGAGATAGTTAGAACACTCTTTAGAAGCGAGTATGGCGAGACTTCGTCTCACGTACTTTGGAGATGTTATAAGGAGGGACCAGTCCCTGGAGAAGGACATCATGCTTGATAAAGTAGAGGCTCAACGAAAAAGAGGAAGATCCTCAACGAGATGGATTGACACTGTGGCTGCAACAGTGGCTGAAACATAGCAACTGAGGATGGCGCAGGACCAGGCAGTGTTTCATTCTGTTGTACATAGGGTCACTACATCTTTGTGGTGGAGAATACAAAATTCTCAATTATGTGTAGAAAAAATTCAAGAAAGGGATGAAAATGTTAGAAGTTTTTCTTGGAAATTGATCCTTTCTCGGTTCTTGTGCTGTTTTCATTGTGGTTATTTAAGGCCATAGAAGCTCTGGTGGCGCAATGGTTAAGTGCTCGGCTGCTAGCTGCAAGGTTGGTGATTTGAACCCACCCAGCTGCTCCACGGGAGAAAAGACCTGGCTATCTGTTCTGTAAGGATTATAACCAAGAAAACCCTATGGGACAGTTCTCCTGTGTCACATGGGGTCACTGTGAGTTGGAATCGACTCAGCGGCACCCAGCAACATTCAAGATTGTATGACGTTTTGCCTCTAACTGAAGTTGAAAATCTCTTGTTTACAGTGACAGAGTTTTCAAAGAAAACTGGAGACTATCCCAGCCTCTCTGCCACAGACATCCAAGTGCTGGCACTCACCTACCAGTTGGAAGCAGAATTTGTTGGGGTATCCCACCTAAAACAAGAACCAGAAAAGGTAGGAAGTTTGTTTTTGTTTTTGTTTTTTAACTTTGTTGTGGAAAATGTCAGATATTCAGAAGTAGAGGGCATAGTATAGTGAACCCATTGTCCACATCATCCAGCTTCCACAGTCACCAGCTCATGGCTAGATCTGTATTCGTCTATACCTACCTTCAGCCCTGAGTATTTTGAACTCAGACATAATATTATGTCACTGATAAGTATTTCAGGGTGTATTTCTGAAGATAAGGATTTTTTTCAAATCAACCACAAGATCACTGTTACTCCTAAGCAAAATTTAATAGTAATTCCTTAGTATCATCAAATATCCAGTCAGTGTTCACATTTCCCATTTATTTTATAATTTTTTTTAACAGTTTGTTTGAGTTGGAATTGGAATCCAAATAAGGTCATACATGTGATTGGTGAATGTCTCTTTTGATCTGTAGATTCCCAGGAAGGGTTGTTTAAATTTGAAAAAATTCAGAAAGAAACAATCCCCTATAATTCCCCCCCCCCCTCCCTTTCTTTTTTTTTTTTTAATGTAGAGTTCTTTCTGGAGGTAAGAAAGAAGTAAACATTAAGTGCTTTCCTTTTTTTTTTTTCCCAACTCCTGTGCATTCAAAACTCTGGGTTCCTGTTGTGCTTCTAGGGACCCAACTTGGCTAGGCTGAAGAGACTGATGGATTTGTGCCAGGGCCTCTCATTGGCTGTATTTTCCATGCTAGAGAATTTTGACTTGCTAAATAATAATTTGATAAGTAATCAGTTTCAGATTGTGTTGGCAGAGTTGCGTGATCTCCTCTGCCTAGAGTCAAAACTTTGGTGGACCCATGTCCCTGTGCTCGTTGGAACTCCCCTCACTTGTTTTCAACCAAGTTCGGAGTCCTTTATTCCAAAGAGTTTAAACATGATGCCTAAAATACACTTCTGTGTGTTGATAGAAGGTTTGTTGGGGAGAATATTTTTATGTAGACTCCAGCTGTGTTACTGAGCACCATGTAACTGGTAGCAGATCTTCCATTTGGCGTCCATCTCTCCACGATGGCTAAAAATTACCCTTCTCTTCAGCCTTTTTGGCAGGAGTTTGATATTTTATATCAAAAACTTTAAAATGACACGTCTTTTGTCCCAGTAGTTCCACTCTTAGGCATTGATCTTAAGGATACAATCAGAGGTACTTCTAAGTTTTACAGATAACGATGTTCATTACAGCTTTATGTGTAATGGTGAAAAGCAAATGTCCCAAAGTGGTTGTCCGGTGGTGGTGGGATCACTGAATGTTGTTTTTTCTGTTTCTTTAATAATTTCCAGTTTTTTAAGCAAGTAAAATTTTTTATTTCAATAACCAGGGGGAAATGTTTTAGTTTTTCTTCTTGAATTACCCTTCTGTGTTGAATTTGCAGACTGTAATTTCTTGCTTAGAGTTGTCATTTTGTTTGTTTTAGGTTAAAGTAAGTTCATCTGTTCGGCATCCAGAAACTCCTCTACTCATTTCTGGTTTCCATCTGCCCTCAAAGGTAATTCCTTACACAAGCCGCGCTCTCAACACTCTTTTTCTGCCATTTGTCACACCTCCACACTTTATCTGTTTACAGTGAACCAGGCTTACCTGGACTAATGTCATAGTTTGTCAGCCCTGTCTGATCTGACTTATGTGTCATACATGATTTCATCTGTAGCCCTCTCCATTTTCAGGGTTTTTTTTTCCTCATAATTATTTCTTTTAATCTCAGCTTAAACCCCCACGAGAGAAAGTAGATCATGAACACCCAGCCAGTGAGCCTGAAAATCTAGAATTCAGTTCCTTCATGTTCTGGAGAAATCCTTTGCCTAATATTGATCATGAACTCCAGGAGCTGTTGGTAAGGCCCTGATTCCAGATCTCTTAGTGACAACATAGTAGCTTCTCCTGGCTGCTCCTGTGGGCTGAGAGTTTATGAAGTCTTCATGTTTCAGCTTGACAAAGGTGAGAGTGTTCCAAGTGAGGAGGAGGACGAGGAAGAAAATGGGTTTGAAGAAAGGAAAGATGAAGATAGTGACGCTGATGGGGGTGGGTGGATAACCCCCAGCAACATTAAGCAGATCCAGCAGGAGTTGGAGCAGTGCTGTGTCCCAAACAACGTGCGGGTCGGCTGCATGACAACAGACTTTGCCATGCAGGTGAGTGATGGAGCAGGCGTGGGCTGTTGTTCCTGGGCTGTGTGTCATGCCTGTCACCGGCAGTGGTTAATTGGAGGTTGGGAAGTGTGTACAGACCTGTGTGTAAGCTTCTGGTTCCAGAAATCTTACCTGTGCTCTTTGGTAATTTCTAGTTTGGGCTGGAGGCCAGAGAATATAATTTTTAACTTTTAATATTCATGATCTGTTGATGCTTTTCCATATGTACAATGTTCTATGCTCAATTAGATTCTTGGAGAAGATAGAGAAGGTTTCCAGCCAAGAAAGGAGTATGTTTGCCTTGACAAAATAAACGTTTCTGTAACTGATGAGGGGCTTTGGCAAAATGGTGAGCACAGACCATGGCACTTGAGATGAGGGAGAAACCTGGGTCCTTGTGCTAGTTCACACATTGTGAGAGGCATCCTAAAGCTTATTTTTCCTTAGCAAATGCCCTTTATGAGCAGAACCAGGGTTTGTGAGGTTCCCTTAAGTATAGTTGCAAAAGAAAATTTTGCTGTGAGTTCAGTTGTGCTTTCCCTTGTTGGTTGTAGAATGTTCTGCTGCAGATGGGGCTGCATGTGCTGGCGGTGAATGGCATGCTGATCCGAGAGGCCCGGAGCTACATCCTGCGCTGCCATGGCTGTTTCAAGTACGTAGCCGATAATCTGTGCCCCTCTGTCTAGTGTATTTTTCTCTTCCTAACCCTCCCATGAGCTTCTTGACAAAGAAGCTTGCATCATATACACGTACTACCTCCATTTCATTATTCCTTCTGTGGGCTGGGCTCTGCCGTCACCAAGGCACTGAAACCTCTGGGACAGGTCACCAGTGACCTCCCACCTGACAAATCCAGGGGACGTTTTCAGTCTTTATCTTAATGGCATTGGGTTAGAGATCTGGGTTCTGGAACAAAAGAGTGGTCATCCTTTAGAGATTCACACTGAAATGTTTATGGATGGAATGATGTCCGGAATTTGCTTCGAAATAATATACAAGTAGAGGGAGTGGATGGAGGTAGAGATGAAACAAGATTGGCCGTGAATTGACATTTGTCAAAGCTGGGTGATGGTTACATGGGGGTTCATTGCGGTCTTTGGCCTACTTTAGTCTATGTTATAGATTTTTTATTTTAAAAAATGGTGGACTCTGGATCCAGACTTCTTGGATTCAAATCCAGATTCTATCTCCTATGCGTGGTTTTACAAAAGTTGCTTAACTTCTCTGTGCTTCAGATTCTTTTTAAAGTTGAGAAGATTGTGAGGAACTAGAGAGATAACCATATATAAAGGTTTTGCTTGGTGTCTGGCACAGAGGCGCACTCCTTCAGGAGAACTGTTAGATTATGAGCCGCTCCCTGCTCTTCATCTCTTTGCTGGCTCTTGAATTCGTTCTCCTTTTTGGGGCTGGTGTTCTGTGGGAGCCACCAGGACCCTAGAGACCCTCTGGTTGGACAGAAGAGCACTGATTACACCACAGCCTTGCTGTTGAGGTATGGCCCCGGGAACTTGTTCTGGTGGTTTCCAGCCATTCCATGGGCTTAGTCTCTGGATTTTGTGGCCATCATGTAGGTCGCCTAGTGGAGCCCCTTCATGGTGGAGGGCTGCGTAAAACATTTCTGAAGCAGCCAGGTGTCTCTCGCCAGGTCCTTAGTGCTGTTCCACTGGGTAGAATTGTCTGGAACCTTGTTCCCCTGTGGGCTTAAAAGTAACTAGTGACTCATGGGCCCAAAGGGCTTTTTTTCTTTTCTTTTTGGCTCTGCCTGCCATTATCTGCAGTTCTGCCAGTGACTTATCAGTGAGGAAACAGCCACTCCTCAAAGGTCTTCCTGTTTCTTAGTGCTTAAATGTACTAGGCTCGTGACAGTAAAGCTTCTTGGCTTCATAAGATCTCACTGCCCCGTAACTGTCCTTTGTTACAAAAGCCCCACATTCCCCAAATTAACATTCATTCTCAGATACACTTGGAAATGTTCTCCCATCCAGTGAGATTAGCCCCAAGGATGGAACAGTTTCTTGTACAGAATAATTGGTTCCAAGCACTTATTTAGAGCCCCTTCATTTACTTTCAGAGACTTGCAGAGAAGGGATTTGGCTTTTCCAGCAGGTTGACACAGCTCTTGTCTTGTGATCATTGAGAATTTACAGAAAACTCAGGGCAGGGAGGAGCAGCTTTTCCTGTCCAGGGTCCACCATTGGGACTGGAGGGGATAGAAGAGGGCCAAGGTCTTGGGGTCTGCCCTCAGCACCCATGCCCAGTTCAACCATTGCCGCTTTTATGATGTCTCCTATATAACGTGTTAGTAAATTCTTGGCGCCTCCAGAACGACTTCCTAGTTAACACCCAAGCTGACATTTGGGGACAAGTAGTTAGAGCTGTAAAAATATGTCCATTGAGAAAGTACATCAACATTAAGAGCATTGTTTCTGGAGCCAGACTCCCTGGTTTGTGTCTGCCACTTAGCAAGCTGCCTTATCTTGCCTTAGTTTCCCAGTCTTTAAAATGGGTATAGTACCAACCTCATGGGATTGTTTTGATGTGAAACTTGTAGAATGATACCTGACATTCAGTTATGTGACAGCATTCAGCTCGTTTTCACATTTATTTTATTTGCTCGTTGTATCGTTTACCATTACCCTTGGAGTAACGCTTGTTCCTTCAGCATGAAGCCAAGTGTCCTGTGTATTGCGTGTGCCTGGTGCTTCAATCTTTCCCCATTTCCAGTTGTTTTCTCCTCCTCTGAGGCCTGTGACTCGCCTGCGCTCTGAGGATGGGGTTTGCTGCCTGTGGGTCCATTACAGAGCATTTCCTTTTGTGTCTCCTAGGACAACATCTGACATGAACCGAGTGTTCTGTTCCCATTGTGGAAACAAGACCCTGAAGAAAGTGTCTGTGACTGTCAGCGACGATGGTACCCTGCTTATGCACTTTTCCCATAACCCTAGGGTGCTGAACCCCCGAGGCCTCCGGGTGAGTGGTCGTCTGTCTCACACTCCCCAACAGCAGGACCTAATTTGGGAAAGCGAATCCTTTTAATGCCAGAATCAAGATTAATAGAGGGGACCAAAAACCCCAGTCATTCCTGCAGGGTAGCTGTCAGAGGCTGTGAACTAGGCACGGAGAGAGATGGAGAAGGCGTACGACACAGCTTCCATGGGCGTTTCTTGAGGGGTCTGAGCTAATGAGAAATACCCAGTAATTCCAGATAGTAAATGATAAGGGCTAAGTGTGTGGGGTTCGAGAAGAGGGAGATTGTTGGAATGTGGTAGAGGTTGGATTTGTGCAGGGATCTGAAGGATGGGCAGGATTTCCAGAAGCCCCGAACCAGAGGGGGACGGTGAAGACTGGAAAGACAAGTGAGAGCCAGGGTGTAGCCAATCTTTTTAACTCTTATTTTGAAATACTTTTTAGATGCATAGAAAAGTTGCAAAAATAGTACAAAAAATTCCCATTTACCATTCACCCAGATTCCCCAGTGTTGATCATTCTCTCCGTCTGGGTGTGTGTGTGTTGTGTTATGTGTGTGTGTTTTTTCCTGAACTGTTTGAGAGTCAGTTGCATACGTGATGTACCTTTACTAGTAAATACCGTAGCGTGTAGAGTATTTCCTAAAAACAAGGACTTTATCTTACAACTACAGTACATTTGTGAAGATCAAGAAGTTTAATCTGTAGACCTTATTCAGACTTTGTCAGTTGTCCCTCAGATTTCCTTCATAGTGAAAGAAGGTGTGTGTGTGTGTGTGTCTGTGTGTGTGTCTGTGTGTCTGTGTGTCTGTGTGTGTGTGTGTGTCTGTGTGTGTGTGTGTCTGTGTGCGTGTGTGTGTCCAGGATCCAGTCTAGGGTCACACGTTGCATGTAACTGTCATGTCTTTTAAACTGGAATAGCCTCTCAGTCTTTTGTCTTTCAGGACCTTGACATTTTTGTCTGAGATTTCCTTGTGATTAGACTCAGGCTGTGCGTTTTTGGTAGGAACACCCAGAAGTGAAGTGGTGTCCTTCTCAGTGCATCATATCAGAGGGTACGTGATGGTCAGGTGTCCAATTTACTGATGATATTAACTTTAATCACTTGGTTAAGGTGGTTTCTGCCAGAATTATCCTCTGTAAAGTTATTATTTTTTAATTAATAAGTAACTTGTAGAAAGATACTTGGAGAATGTATCATTCTCATCAAAACTCATTTATTAAAGTTGCCTCAGTCAGTCCTTACAGTGATGGTTGCCAAATGGTGGCTTTCTAATTCCATCATTCCTTGTATAGCTAATAGTTGATATTCTAATGTAAGGAGGAGCTTTCCTTTTATCCCCTTTTATTTATTCATTTACCTATGAGTGTGGACGTGTGGATTCTTATTTTAGTCTACAGGCTGTGATCTGTTACAGTCTTTATTGATTTTTATTCCCACATTGTTACATGATTGGTCAGTGGGAGCCCTTTCAAGCTAACTTCTGTTTCCTTTTGACGTGTTGCCATTATCTTTGAACACTTTCTCGCACAGTAAGATGTTCCAGGCTCTTATATCTTCCCTGCCCCAGCAATGGAATTGGTCATTTCTCTAAGGAGCTCTGGATCCTTTTATGGAGAATGATTTTTAGAAGCAAAGATCTCGGCACTGGGTGTGCTGATAGCCCTGGGTGTCATTGTTCCTCAACTCTCAGTAGACAGAGATAGGAAATACATGTGCATGTGTATAGGTACGCACAGTAACATTCTGTATTTCTGTATATTAAAAACCATGTGTTTATAACTTCAATTTCAGTCCAGCATCCCAGGGTTTGTTCTGGTCCTCCCCTTATCATATTTGGGATATTTCTATCCTCCTATTTTTCATAATAAGTTACTTATTTGTTCAATCCTAGAATATACATTGTTTTAGAATTGCTAACCTATACCAAAAAAACGAGTTGCTGTCGGATCAGCTCTGACTCATGGTGACCCCATGTGCGTCAGAGAAGAGCTGTGCTCCATAGGGTTTTCAGTGGCTGATTTTTTCAGAAGTAGATTGCCAGGCCTTTCTTCTAAGGAGCCTCTGGGCTACCAGACCTTTGTGAAAATAGTAGAGTTCTGTATTTATGCATAATTCTTTTCGTTTTTAGCTGGGGGTATATAGTCAAAATACTGTGTTCAAAAAGGTTTGTTTGTTTTTTCCTTCCTTTGGTGTGATTAATTTTTTGAAATACAATTCATCTTCTGTTCAGGAAGGCTTTTTTGGTGTAACGTAAACTTAGAATGTTTATTTTAATAGTCATGCATTTATTATCATGTGTGTTCGAGGAACTCTGACTTGCACCCAAGTTCCTCATTTGCAACTTTGTGGCTATTACTACTTAGGAAGATGCTAAGTTTTTACAAATATATATTGGTTTAAAGGAAAATGTTGAGTAAACAATGGTACACAGGTATGCAGATAGGACAAATTTTGAAAGTAGGACTGGAAATTTGGGGAATATTAGAAAAAGGAATTGGGAGTGTATCAATGGGAGGGTGCCGTGTTGAAAAGAAAATTATCTACTTGAGGTGAGTGGGGCAGGGCGGTGACGGGTTTGCTGTTTGCCGTCAAGGGAGTTCCTGTAGGGAAATCTGGAAACCTGAGGGTGAGAAGTACTGAAGAGTACCTGAAAGCTGTTGGTGCCAGAGGGGTGGATTGTCAGCCCCTCCATTCCTAGTGTTTTATTTGATTCTTTTGTCACTGCTTTTCTCTGGAAAGCAATGGGTTTACAAGACAACTTGTAGGCAAGTGACTTGACCTCCCTGAGCCTCAGTGTTCTCATCCGTGAGTTGAGGTGAGGCTCAAGTGGGAAGATGCATGTCATGTGCTTAGCACCTAGTAGGCAGTACATTATCTACACCATTGTTGTCATCTGGCTGCTTTGGAATCTGTAAGGTGGACTTTGCTATAAGAGAATATGGACATGTATCAGTGAACGTGGATCCCCATTCTTCTAATGGCCCTTCCCTGTCTTGTTTGCAGTATTCACTTCCTACTCCCAAGGGGGGCAAATATGCTGTCAACCCCCATCTAACTGAGGACCAGCGTTTCCCTCAGCTGCGACTCTCCCGAAAGGCCAGGCAGAAAACCAACGTGTTTGCCCCTGACTACATAGCCGGGGTATCTCCCTTTGCAGAGAATGATATTTGCAGCCGATCAGCTACCTTACAGATTCGAGATAGCACCTTGGGGGCTGGGAGGAGACGGTTAAATCCCAACGCTTCCAGAAGGAAGTTTGTGAAGAAAAGGTGATTGGCACACTGGATTGCTGCTGCCGCGTAGTTCTGGTGTCTCATTTCCCCAGCTGTGTCATCTCCAGAGCCATCCGGATGGGAAGAATAGGCTCAACTTACAGAGTGCTGCTTTGTGACTTGCTATGGTATGCTGGGTTTGTGGTGGAACTGGGCTACCCTGGCCCGTAAGGATCGAGAGAGCTGGAATTCCTGCCGTGTTAGGTGGAATTGGATAGAAACAGAAGAACAATGTCCTGAACTTTAAAGAGAATTTCCAAATGATACTATTTTTCTAATAAATGTGATTGCAAGCCTCTGTGCACTTTTATGAAATAGCCTAATTTTTTGCTGCTTAGGTACTTTGAAGACTAACATTGAAGGTGTATACCCAAGGAATAAGCATTTAGATTTATCTTTTTGCCAGAAAATATAATTAAAAAATTAACCAATTGTTGCAGAGTTGATTCTGGCTTATGGAAACCCGTGTGTGTCAGAGTAGAACTGTGCTCCATAGGGTTTTTCAAGGCTGTGAAACAGATTGCCAGGCCTTTATTCTGAGGTACCTCTCGGTGAGTTTGAACCACCAACCTTGTGGCCCCCCCAAAAATGTCCATGTCCTAATCCCCAGAACCTGTGAATGTGTTACCTTACATGTCAAAAGGGACTTTGCAGATGTGAATAAGTTAAGGAAGATTATCCACAAGAGTCATTGTTAGAGAAGCAGATGTGACCAGGGAAGCAGAAGTTGGAGTGATGCGACCATAAGCCAAGGAATGCCAGGAGCTTCTTGATGCTAGAAAAGGTAAAGAACAGATTCTCTCATAGAACATCCAAAAGGAACACACCTGATGACACGTTGATTTTAGCCCCAAAAGACCCATTTTGGACTTCACACCGCCACAACTATAAGCTCGTAAATTTATGTTGTTTTAAGCCACTAAATTTGTGGAAATTACTACATACCAATAGCTCTAATTCCAAACTAGCACCCAGAGAGAGTCTTGTCTTCCTCTTTCTGTGTGTACAGCTCTCTTCCCCACTGAGAACACTGGTTCCAACAATATACGGACTCATTTGCTCAATCTAAATTCACATGAAATAGTTTCAGAGTTGCTATACCCATAGCACTACCAAAACAAACCTGCTGAGTACAAAATTCACAGTTCTTTAGATTGATAGTATATATTCAAAATCCTATCTTCAAAAGTTCCTTAAGTTAGGTTTTTTTCACCTCTGTGGTAATCTTGTCCATTTGTTTCAGTTTATATTCAGTTTAGAAATTTCCCCCCGCCTATGGATCTAATTTTACCTTTTTAAAATATGAAAATGGTAACATAGTTCCAAAAGTCAAAACTACTAAAAGGAATATGTAGAGTTGGATGCCATTACTTCCCTTATGCTACCCCATTTGCCTTCAACCCCTATAATTTCATTTGTTTCTGATTTATCCTCGTTTCCATTTGCAAAAGTATGTGTGTATGGAATCAATAAAACCAGAAGTTCTTTGAAAACATCAATAAAATTGACAAACCTTTAGCTAGACTGACAAAAAACGAAAATAACCAAAATAAAAAGGGGGGACATGTTACAGGAGACCCAATGGAAATAAAAAGAATTATGACAGACTATTGTGAACTATATGGCAACAAACTGGATAATGTAGATGAAATGGAGAAATTCTTAGAAGCACACAACCTACGCAAACTGACTTAAGAGGAAAGAGAAAGTCTCAGCAGATGCACAACAAGTGAACAGATGCAATCAGTGATCAAAAATCTCCCAACAAAAAAGTCCTGGACCAGATGCTTTCACTGGGGAATTCTACCAAACATTTAGAGAATTGACACCAATCCTGTTTAAACTCTTTTCAAAAGATAGGGAAAGAAGGAATACTCCCTAATTCATTCTATGAAGTAAGCATAACCCTGGTACCAAAACCAGACAGAGTCACAAGAAACGAAACTATAGGCCAATATCTCTTTTGAATATAGATGGCAAAAATCCTCACAAAATAGCGAACAGAATCCTACAGCATATTAAAAAAGTCATACATCATGACTAAGTGGGCTTTATTTCAGGAATGCAGGGATGGTTCAACATTAGAAAACCAACATAATATACCACATCAAAAGGACAAATGAAAAGAACCACATGATCTCTATGGATGCAGAAAAAACATTTGATAAAATCCAACACCCTTTCCTGATGAGAACCCTAAGGAAGACTGGAATAGAAGGGAAATTCCTCAGTGTGATTCAAAGCATATATCAAAAGCCAACATTACACTTAATGGAGAAAAACTGAAAGCTTTCCCCTTGAAATAAGACAAGGGTGCCCCCTCTTACCACTTCTAGTCAATATTTTATTAGAAGTCCTAGCCAGAGAATTAAGACAAGAAAAATAAAAGGTATCCAGACTGAAAAAGAAGTAAAATTATCTCTTATTTGCAGATGATATGATCCCATATATAGAAGATCCCAAAGAATCCACAAGAAAATTTAGAGAGATAATAAAAGAACTTAGCAAAGTTGCAGGGTACCAGGTCAACAAACAAAAATGAGTTGGGTTTCTATACACCAGCAATGAGAAATCGAAAAGGGAAATTAGGGAAACAATTCCATTTAGAATAGCATCTAAGAGAATAAAATACCTAGAAGTAAATCTAATCAAGAACGTGAAGGACTTACATGATGAAAACTATAAAACTGCTGAAAGAGATTAAAGAAGATTTAAATAAATGGAAAGATGTTCCATGTTCATGGATTGGAAGACAATATTGTTAAGATGTCAGTGCTACACAAAGTGATCTATATTATTCAACGCAATCCCAATCAAAATTCCAACAGCCTTCTTTACAGAAATACAAAAACCAATCCTCAACTTTATATGGAATGCAAGAGGCCCCAAATAGCTAAAGCTATGTTGAAAGACAACAACAAAGTAGGAGGACTCACACTTCCTGATTTTATAACACACTATATACAGCTACAGTAATCAAAATAGCCTGGTACTGGAATAATAACACACAGACCAACGGGAGAGAATTTGGAGTCCAGAAATAAATCTACAAATTTATGGTCAGCTGATTTTTTCCAAGAGTGCTAAGTCCATATGATGGGGAAAGAAGAGTCTCTTCAATAAATGGTGTTGGGGAAATTGGGTTTCCACATGTGGAAAAGTGAAGCAGGACCCATGCCTCACGCCATACACAAAAACAAATTCAAAACGGATTAAAGACCTAAACGTGCAACTAAACCCATGAAATTCTTGAAAGAAAAAGCGGGGGCAATGCTGTTAAGCCTAATTTTTAACAATGGATTATCTAATAACAAAATCACGAACAGCAAAAGACAAATAAATGGGACCTCATAAAAATTAAACACTTTTTTCACCAAAAGATTTTACCATAAAAGTGAAAAGACAGGCTACCAACTGGCAGAATATCTTCAGAAACCATATATCTGATAAGCATCTAATAAAATACATATAAAACTTCAACAACTTAACAAAAAGATTAAAAAAAAACCCCAATCATAAAATGGGCAAAGGACTTGAATAGACATTTCACCAAAGAGGACATTCAGATGGCCACCAAACACATGAAAAGATGCTCAGCATCATTAGGCATCAGAGAGATGCAAATCAAACCCACAGTGAAATACCAGTTCACTCCCACTAGGATGACTAAGATTAAAAGAGAAAAACAGAAAATAACAAATGTTGCCGAGGATGTGGGGAAATTAGAACCCCTGTCTGTTGCTAATGGGAATGCAAAATGGTACAGCTGTTGTGGAAAACTGGCATTTTCTCAAAAAACTAAAATAGAACTACCTACCGTATGACCCAGCAATTCCATGCCTAGGTATGTACCCAAAAGACTCAAAAGCAGAGACTCAAAACGAGATTTGTACACCAGTGTTCATTGCAGCACTACTCACAATAGCCAAAAAGGTGGAAACAACCTAAATGCCCATCAACAGATGAGTGGATAAACAAAATGTGGTGCATACATAACAATGGAATACTACTCAGCCAGTAGGAGAAATGAAGTCATTATGCTGAGAGAAATAAGCCAATCACCAGAGGATAAATATTTTATGACCTCACTTAGATAAAAAGAAAAGGCAAATATACAGAGACCAAAGCTTATTTGTGATTACCATGGGTGGGGGAGGGGGGAAGAAGGGGGTTAAAGGTGATGGAAAAATTGTGTTAAGGGCAGGGTTGCACAGCTGATTATTGTAATTGCTGTCAGTAAGTTCTACACCAGTAAAAAGTTGAATTGGCAAAAGTTGTGATAGATGTATTTACAACAACAACAAGAAAGAGTATGGCCCCCGGACACCCTTTTAACTCAGTACTGCAGTCACTCCTGAGGTTCACCCTTCAGCCAGAGATTAGACAGGTCCATAAAACAAAATGAGACTAAAATGGGCACACAAGCCCAGGGGCAAGGACAAGAAGGTAGCAGGGGACAGGAAAGCTGATAATAGGGAAGCCAAGGTCGAGAAGGGGAGAGGGTTCACATGTTGTGGGCTTGGCAGCCAGTGTCACAAAACAGTATGTATATTAGTTGTTTAAAATTAAAAACTGATTTGGTCTGTAAACCTTTATCTAAAATACAATTTAAAAAAATTTCCAAAAAAAAAGTAGCTGCTGAGGATTCTTATGTATAATCAAACACCTCATGGGATTTGGTTTCTTGGTTTGTAGGTTTAGGGTCATGGTTTCATGGGATAGCCCAGTTAATTGGTCTTATAACATGTTTAGTGGCTCTGTTCTACCTCCTAATTCGTTGCATAGTGCCTGAGGTCTTAAAAGCTTGCAGGCAGCCATCCAAGGCCCAACAATTGGTCTCTATTCGCCTGGAACAGCAGAGGAAGAAGGAGAGGAATAGGAGGAAGACATGGAATGTGTGGCTGTTTGCCTCCATGAATAACTGCCTCCTTTGCCATGAGACCAGAACTGGATGGTGCCAGGCTACCATTACTGAACATTTTGATCAAAGATTCCATAGAAGAATCCTGATCAAAAGGGGGGAAGTGCAGAACAGAATTTCAAATTCGCATGGACTCCAGACTTTCTGGAGCAATGGAGACTGGATGATCCCCTGAAACTATTGCCCAAGATCATCTTTAAAACTTAAACCAAAAGTATCCCCTGAAGTTTCCTTAAAACCAAGCAGTAGTTTAGCTTACCTAGTAAAAAATGTCTTCCTTGAGCACTATATTCTTAAGAACTATCTATATGGGATCAAAGTGTAAACAGCAGCTCAAAAGATTAGATAGGAACCTGAGGGGGCGGTGAGATTATGTTAATGAGGGAGGAACAACTCAGCAAAGGAGGCTGAGAATGGTTACACAACTCGAAGATTGTAATCAGTATCACTAAATTGTATAGGAAGAAACTGTTGAATTCAACAACAAAATAAATAAAATTTAGAAAAAAATAAGTATATGTATGCATTATATTCCCTTTTTCTTCCACAAATAGTACTGTGTATATACTTTTTCAATGAAAATCATTCCGTATCAGTTCATAGACATGTTCATCCTTTTTTTAGCTGTCTAGTACTCCATTTAATGGAGCCCTGGTGGCACACAGTGGTTAAGAGCTTGGCTGCTAACTAAAAGGTTGGCAGTTTGAATCTACCAGCCACTCCTTGGAAACCCTATGGGGGCAGTTCTGCTCTGTCCTGTAGGGTTGCTATGAGTCAGAACTGACTTGAAGGCAATGGGTAGTACTCCATTTAAGTGTTTAATCTACATTAGCCTATTTAATGCATAGAACATCATTATGAGGTATAGATATTATTATCTCTAGCAGTCCTGAGCTACAAGAAGTTAATTGACTTGCCCAAAGTCACATAGCTCGAGTGGCCAGGCCAGGATTTCAACTTAGTCCTTTTGTGCCCTTATATAACAGATGTACCTGTGGAGGTCAGAGCAGCCTTGAGTACTTTCTGCATCACCCCACCCCCTATCTTCGTAAAGCTCATACTTAGGTGCCAGCTAATGGCGTGACACACACCTAGAGCCCAGAGTGCCGGAGTGGAAGTGAACAGTAGTTAGAGACTAATGTTAGTACACTTTCTGCCTTTTCAGCAGAAAAGGGTAGCTATGGGTTGGAATCAACTTGACGGCAACAGGTTTATGTTTTTTTGCCTTCTGCCTTTTGTATTTTTCCTCCTCATTCTATAATATCAAACACACAGAGAAGTAGGGGATAATATAACAAACACCCCTGTACCCAACACTTAGCCTTTTCAGATCTTAACATTTCACTGTGTTTGCTTCAAAATTAAGAAAGAAAACATTTCAGGTACCAAAAATGTTTGGGTTGTAAAGAGAGGAAAACAACAACAACAACAACTTGGATTAATTAGGTAGAGAATTGGCATAGGCATTCAGCTGCTAACCAAAAGGGTTGGCTGTTCAAACCCGCCTGGTGGCTTTGCTGGAGAAAGACCTGGTGATCTGCTTCCATAAAGATTAGAGCAAGAAAACCCTATGGGGGGCAGTTCTATTCTGTCACATGGAGTTGCTATGAATCCACTCAATGGCACACAACACCACTACGTTCCTAGAGAAAGGGAATGGAAAAGGTGGTGGCCACTGGCCTCTAAAGGACACTTGTGACAGAACAGTGGAATCCAATTGTACATTAAGGGTTTTCCTGAATTGTCTTAGGAATCCTGGGGCATGGGAGAAAAAAAGAATGGAAGTCCTATAAGGGCAGACCTTCCCAACCCCAACAGTGTAAAGGTCGTGTGTCAACTTGGCTGGGCCGTGATTCTCAGTGGTTTGGCAGTTATGATGTGGTTTGGTAGTTATGTAATGCTGTAATCAATTCCACGATAAGGTCTACTATGACCAGCTAATCAGTTGAAAGGGAGTTTCCTTGGGGGTGTAGTCTGCCTCAAATATATAAATGGATGTTCCAGCAAGGCTCTGGCTCTGGATCCTTCAATCCGTCTGGGGATCGTAAAGACACCTGCTTTCTCTTATTGTGGCCAACAGAATGAAATCTATAGAGAAGGAGACCAAGAACAGCTTTTAGGTTAACTTCACCCTTGTTTCTCATGCCATCTTTGAATTCCTTCC